CACAGGACCCTCCGAACAAGGGTGAATTATTCAACACTATAAATTGATACCCTGTGCAATCAGGAGTGCACGGGTAGGTTAACAACACGAGTCTCGATAGGAGTGAAAAGTCAGCCGCAAATGAGACTAATGGGAGAGAGCCCTTGATCAAATTAGAGGGCCCCTGAGCATCGAGCGTCTCCGTGCTTTACCTTATAAGAGCCCTAGCAACGGCACAAGGCCCTTCAAGCAAGTAGAAAGTACCTGAAATTTATATGAATGGCCCCTGAGCAACTGAATGTACTCTGGCATATGCAGCCTCGGTGTGGTGCATGTGTGCATGCACCACACCAGTGCATGCAGCCTTTCCGGCGAATGGAAAGAATCCGTGGAGGAAAACGCGATTGATCAACATTGCTCAAGCATGGGGACAGATAGCGTCCCAGCAGCACATTGGGCCCTACGAAAAAAAATGGGAAGAGATCAAGGGTAACGTGGAAAGCTCCTTAACGATCAGATTCACGCAATAAGTGGACATATAGGGACAGGCAGCCAATAGCGTAATGCCTGTAGACGGCGCAATAAGCCCAAAAATTTCCCCCAAGCAACGCTCTCTCAATCAGCGAATAATGTACTTTCTTTTACTTATGAACTCGCTAGTAATGGTTTTTGGTCATCTGTAGGCCAAATAAATCCAATTTTGTTGTGCTTTTGTTGTAACGAAACTGCGTCCGTCCGGCCGGTTATCAGCCCATTCGAAGCCTTAAGGTTCCCTCGGCATGGTCCAAGGGACATGATCCTGTGCCTCCCCTACCCACCCTCTGCATCCGCCACCGGCCCGAGCAGCTGAATAAATGTGGCCCGCTAAGAACATAGGGACATCCATTCAAATAAGAAATACTCACGACACAATGTGTAAGGTTCTAAACGATTGAGTGCGCCAGACCAGGTTAGCAGATAAGGCTCCCAAAAAGAGCGTAGATTCCTCCATTAAAATAGGGAGTATTCAAGACCCAATGCAGAGGACCCTCGAATGATCCAGTGCATCAGAGCAAGTAAGCATGTAGGGCCCGGTCAAAAGCGTAGGGCCTTCCATTCAAATAGGAAACACCCAAGACCCAATGTAGAGGGCCCCCAAATGATCGAGTGTGCCCGAGCAGGTTAACAAACAGGGCTCCCAACAAGAGCGTAAGACCCTCAATTCGAATGGGAAGCACTGAAGACCCCAAGTAAATGGCCTCAGAATGATGTAATGTGCGTGAGTAGCGTATCAGAAGGAGCCTGACAAGAACGCAGGGGCTCTTCATTCAAATAAGGAATACTCAAAACCCAGTGCGGAGGGCCCCCAAAAGTTGAAGTATACGCGAGCAGATTATCAGGTGACCCAGACAGGAGTGTAGGGCCCTAAATTCACACACCAAGACCCAATATATGGGGCCCCCGAACAATTCCATGTGGCCGAAAGCGGGGAACAGATAGGGTCCCGACAAGTGCGTAGGTCCCTCCATTCAGGTGGGCCCCCGGATATTCGAGTGTGCCCGAGCAGGTTAACAGATGAGGCTCCGGCAAGAGCGTAGGGCATTCCGTTCAAATGTGAATTACCCACGGCACGATGTAGAAGGCCCCGAATAACCAAGTGCGCCAGAGCAGGTTAACAGATAGGGCCCCCGAAAAGAGCGGAGGGCACTCCATTAGAAAAGGAAGTACCCAAAACCAGGCGTAGAGTTCCCCCACGATCGAATGGGCCCGAGCATCTTATCAGATGGGGGCCCCGACAGGGAGCTTAAGCCCCCCCCCCCCCATTCAGATGAGAAGTACCTAAGACCCCATGCGGAGGACCCCGAAAGATGAAGCGTACCCGAACAGGTTATCAGACGACCCCGATACGGGCAGAGGGCCCTAAATTCAAACAACCGAGAACCAATGTGCAGGGCCCACCAGTAATCCAGCGTGGCCGAGGAGGCAAACCTAGGGGGCCCCGACAAGTGCGTAGGGCCCCGTTCAAACAGCACGTGCCTAAGGCCCAATATAGAGGGCCCCCGAACAATCGAATGTGCCCGAGCAGGTTATCAGATAGCCTCCCCCCCCCCCCACAGAAGCGTAGGCTCCCCTTTCAGAAAGAAGTACCAAAAACCCAACGTAGATGGTGCCCGAACGACTGAGTGTGCCCAAGCAGGCCATTAGATGGGCTCCGACAAGGGTGTGGGGGCCCCTAAGCAAGTGACAGAAAATTGGATACGCCCTAGACCAATGTAGAGAACCCTTGGCCATATCGCAAGTGTGTCGGTAGGCTAACTGATACCCATGAAAGGGCCCCTGAGCAACAGAGAATACCCGGCAGGTTAAGGTATGGGAATCTGGCCACCGCTCACAGAGTCTGTCTGGCGAATGGACATAATCCGTGGAAGGGCCCGTGAATGACAAGAGTTCCCCGGCACGCTAACAGGAAGGGCCCCAACAACAAGCGCAGGGCCCCCCTGAGCAAATGCAAAGAAATGAAGGACAAACGCGGAATGCTCCTAAACGACCGAAATGAACTCGCGATGGACATATAGGTCCCCCGGAAACAACATGGGCCCCTAGACGCTGTAATGGGGCTTAAAATTCCAGTTCACAACTTTTTCAATCATTGAGTAATTTTTGGCACTTCTCATAGGCCCTTCACTTCGCTTACAGCTGTTCTTTGTGGCCTGAAAGTCCGGAGATACCCAGTTTTGTCGAGTTTTGTGTTAAAAAACTGCCCCTGTTCGTCCACCTATGGGCCCCCCGGAGCCAGTGGGCCCCTTCGGGGCTCAAGGGGGGGGGGGGGCATGCCCCGTGGCCCCCTCTCTGGATCCGCCCCTGTTTGTTATCGTATGTTTTTTGGGGGACTCTTTTGTTATTTTCCACGTTTTTGCCCCTCACCCGAACTCAGTTTATCCTTGATGTGGGACTGTCGTGGGGAAGGAGAAAGTGATTGATCCTAAGCCTGAAGTGTCCCTCAGGTTGACCACGATGAATCTCAAATGAGAGCACCGTAAATCCAATATGGGGCCCGAAGGGCTGGCTAAAGGCCATTGAGGGGGCGGGCGCGGGCGGACCCTCAAATACCCCCCAGAGGGCCCGTTGTACCGAACTGGGCCCCGGCATGGGCCTGGGAGCCCATTTCCCAAGCAGGGACATGGTCAGGACCCGCGATTTACATTGGTCATTGCGGCCCCGAGCCAATTAGGGGCCCCTGTGTCGGCCAGGGGCACACAGCGCCTAACCGGATGTCCGGTGTTGACAAGGGGCCCCCGAGTTGGGTCAGGAAGTGTACGAGGTGCCTGAAGAGGGACCGATGTGCCCTTCAAGACTGACGATAAACGGGCCGATGTGAAGGCTGAATGGCCGTAGGGGTCGAAAGGCTGCAGGCCATCCTGGCCCGTATGGCTGTAATCCCAAATGTCAGCCAATATGCCTCTTTCGCCGATCGTGGACCCCTGTGACAGTGCGGACACCTATTTTGGCCGGAGACCACTACACCGAATAGTTTGACTTCGTGTTGTTCTGAGTCCTGGGGCCCCATTTCTTTAGCAGGAACGAGAACCGAGGCCCACGATTTGCATTGGTCGGAGTCCGTACAAACAAGGAGTGGTTCTTTGTGGCGGTCAGGCCCCCAGAGTGTCCAACAGGGGTCCTATGATGGAATGAGCCTCGAGTCGGCCAGAGGTGGCCCCGGGGCCCTTGCGCAAGACCCGTTATCCCTTTTCAAGCCAAGGTCCGCTGGCCAAACATGGGTCTGTGCCAGTTATGGATCAACTGCGTTATCAAAAGATCTGTGTTGCCCATTGAGGGCTCTTGCGCCTTGTTCCGGGTCAAATGCATGGGTCAGAAGCTGCCAAAGGTCCTTCCGCGTCAGGGAGAGCACCAATGTAGGACATACATCGTGTGAGGGCCTCCGGACGAACCCATCAGGCGAACCCGCCTCCATATCGCAAAATGACAGCTGTGTAAGGACACCCGGGGCTGGGATGGATGATCTTGAGCAATTGCCCTGGAAGTGTCGTGGGCACGTAACTTTCATTGATATGTTACACCTTTTGCACATTACAATACGCATTTTTTTAAGAGGTTGAACCTTGCACAAGCTGTTTGCCTCATTTAGATTTACGGTCAACCTTCACGGGATGCTCAGTATCTCTGTAGGGTGTGAACTCCCTCCCAGGAGGGAAGAGTCCTCTTTATCTTTAGCCCCCTCTCTGACATTAGAAACTACGCTGCTGTCCGGTATGAAAAGCACAGATTATAATTCATTTTGCTTAGAAATGAACCGAGTTGGCACCATCACGCCAGGCCGATAGACCATGAATCCACCCACTTAAAAGCGGCCCCGTCGAGATTCGAGCCCGGGCTTGCCGCGTGCGAGAGCAGGATGCTAACCATCCATCCACTGGAGATGCGGGCCCGGCAGGCGGAAGTTTGTGATCAGAATAGGACTGGCTCAGAGTGAGTTGATGGATTTCGTAATTGTTTGATGCCTATCACGCATAGAGCCGACCTTTCGCACGGGATTCTGCATATTTGCACTTGCTTCCCTCTAAGGCTAACACTCCGCATATGCTTGACACGCACAACCATCTGAAAGATTTTTGGAGGGTGTATAGCCCGGTTCATAGCCGCCCTCATTCTGGAGGATGTATAAGCCCGGTGCGTAACCACCCTCTGTTTTGGAGGGTGTGTAAGCCCGGTGCGTAACCGCCCCCCCCCCCCCCCCCCCGTTTTGGAGGGTGTATACACGCAGCCGACCAAAAATCCTGGCATCAACGTCAGCCGGCGTGTGACGTCACAGGCCAGCTTACGTTGTGCTCACATGACATAACATAGGACAAATATTGGGCCATGATTGGTGCTGACAAACAAGCCAACGACAGATCGGACTCGGCCACAAACGCTGCTACCAAATTGCTAGTGTTTTTTTGAAAATGTCTTGATGCGGAATTTCCCCAGACAGTCCGTTTACGCTTCCGTTCAAAGATTCGCTATGACCATTTGAAGTACGCGCACGACTCGTGCTTCCTCGAGAAGACGTGCGGCAGTTATCGACGGCCAACGGCGTAGAGCTCCGGGCACATACAGGTAGGCGACTATTATCAACAGCATTGTTGGTTAGATAACGGGAATTTGGGACGACCGCTGATATTACCGACATATACCAGCCTATGAATGGACATCGGCATAAATTACCATGATTTTCCGACACAGCATCCCTGAAGTAGCATATCCTTTAGTCTCCAAGAAATAGTATAATTGAAGCCCTTTCCAGATCTGAAAAGTGAGTGAGGTCTTTCTGGACAGTATCCGCACCACTTGCAGGCGAAGGTCTAGGCTGTACAAAAATGCATGCTACGCTGTGCGTGGGGTGCATGATGGCTATGTTCTGGGCTCTGGCATTGATTTCAGCATGTGCACTCAGTAAACCTTGGCACCCTGAGTTGGCACATGGATGTCACCAATAATTCTTCAAAAGATTTTGATTTTGTAAAGGTAGTTTCAAGCATAAACTTATGAAAGTGTCACCAGTAAAGAAAAATTAAAGACTAACACACTCATGTTCATAAAGTTCCAAAATTTATCCAGCAGGGTGTAGTAGACATA